CGCCCTTCACCCGCCAGGGAAGCGCCGCCGCCCTCGCCGTGCTGCGTCCAGCCGCCCCGCCACCGGCGCTGCCGTGAGGCTCATCTTGCAGTCCGGTGTGGTCTTGGCATGAAGTGCAACCCTCATGGCTACATCATTATTCAGGCCTCCTACTTAAAATGGATAAACTGCTGCAACCATATGTGCACCATATGTAAGCGAGCACGTTTCAGATTATTCAAAACAGTTCATAGAATCATTGAATCACTTTGGTTGGAAAAGACCTTCGAGATCATCGAGTCCAACCTTTAACCTAACCCTGCCATCCCACCACTAAACCCTGTCCCTAAGCACCTCATCTGTCCTTCTTTTAAATACCTCCAGGGAGGAGGACTCGACCACATCTCTGGGCAGCCCATTCCAGTGCTTGACAACCCTTTCGGTGAAGAAGTTTTTCCTAATGTCTAGCCTAAACCTGCGTGGCACAGCTTCAAACCATTCCCCCTTGTCCTATCATCTGTTACCAGGGAGAAGAGGCCGACCCCCACCTCACTACAGCCTCCTGTCAGGCAGTTGTAGAGGGCGATCAGGTCTCCCCTCAGCCTCTTCTCCAGACTAAATAACCCCAGTTCCCTCAGCCGCTCCTCATATGACTTGTGTTCCAGACCCCTCACCAGCTTGGTTGCTCTCCTCTGGACATGCTCCAGCAATGCAACATGGTTACATCATTGATGACCACATAGCATTCTAGGTTGCCCGAAGTTCACTGAAGGGTATGCACATTTAAACACACTCAAAACACTGTACCCATATTTGTGTACCACCACAGGAACAGACTTCTGAAGGCTTTGAAATGAGCCACAAGCGTTTTCAGTTCTGGATCTGAAATGGCTCAGATTGACCTGGCTTGTGGATGACCAGTAGCCATTACAATCCAGTGACTGACTCGTGGCTGGGATGAAATGAGCCGGCCGTAGGTAAGCACAAACTGTGTTAGTTAGCATTGCTATGGGCAGTGTTAAGCAGCGAAATGTCAAAGCATTAGGCTCCATGGAGGTTGTGATTTGACTTCACTGCCAGGTTACTGTAGGCACCATCTAAAAACCGAGTTTCAGCCTGCAAGTGCTGATGTGGTGCCAAGGGATCAGGTAATCAAGGAATGTCCCTACAGCTACTCCTCTTGCTGGGTCAGAGAGAGAAGGGCAAGCAGGGAAGACTGTAAGCTTCAGTGACAGAGGGAGATGGGAGAGAGACCCCATTTCACAGGCCCTCCCAGTTCCCAGGCCCTCCCTGCGGAGCTCCGGCTGTGACGGCTGCTTCTGCATTGCCAGCCCAGCTGTTCCCCAGATACCTGCTCAGGAGCTGCTGGGAAGGCGATCCCATTAATATTTCTCAAGTCAGATGTCTCTGCCTTCAAGACCTTTTAATACTTTGTTTACCATCTTTTTACCAGAAATCCAGCCTCCTCCAGCCACCTGCATGCCCCAGGTGTCCTTCAGTATCCCACTGCGTAGCCACACATCCCTACAAACGCACATACCCTGGCTTTGTAACTACCACCTAACTATTGTCTCATCATGGCCCACAGGACAAAATTGTCGCTGTCTGTGACTCCACATCCTTCCCGGACACCGCCAGAGGCAGGCTGCGTTAAACATAAGCTAAAGTTTGTGTTCATATTCAAAGTGTATGCAAATGTGCCAATTGTTTCCTTGTGTTATTTGCATCTTTCTAACTAATTTGTACAGAACAGCACATGCAGCTGCACAAACTTGGTATCCATATAATATCTTTCATATGATGCTAGGATTAAAATAGAACTGGAAACAAAGATTTCTAATTAACGCTGGTGTCCTGTTGACCTTTAATGACCCAAATGTTCACTACAGCAGAGGTTTGACAGAAGTTGCGTTGATCCTTATCTGTCCCAATCTCTTGATATGGGTCAAAGATACAAAAGTAAAGAATTGCTGTCATACATTATGATTTAATACTGCACGGCCAGGGTGACGCACTTCTAAATTCAAAACCTGATTCCAGCATGTGCTATCTGAGCCTTTAGTGAAGTAACTTAAGACACTGTGGCACTATAACCCTCACAGCATTCTGCCAGTCTGCCACCGACAGCTTTACTTTGGAAATTACTTAGATCCCACCTTTCAAATGTTAAAAACTCCAGTAAATCTTAATCAGTTAAATTTAGCATTTTTTTCTTTCAAGTAGTGACATTTCTCATTTCATACCTGACCATCCTATCACAAAGATGTTTCTTTTATCTATTCATGCTTTTTACACAAATCACCAGCTGCTTATCAAATAATAATTTTTTCATGTTTGAATTTTATGTTCGCATTTATTATGATATCGCTCTTGATGTTCAGTGACTGTGGCCTCCACAGATATGCCCCACATCTCATTTGCTTGATAGTCAAATGTAACATTGTTTTCAAGAATTCAAAATTACTATTTAAAAGAAGAAAATAAGTAATAGCTGTAAAACTATAAAGATGATCTAAGCACACTGTAGGAGATGATACACTATGTAGTCGTTCCATGGCATTAACAGTGAACTTGGAAGGCTGCTGTTTTTCTTCATTTAAAGTGTTGTATGTTATATCATACGAAGACCCGAGGGAAAAAAAACCAAGAACAACCATTTCATAGAGAAGCACAACTATTTCATATTAGAGCAGTATCTTCAAAGAGTCATAAATGCACTGTAATCATTCCTTGCCTTTCCTGAATTCTGAGGCCTATGTAAATGTTTTGGGGAAAGCTGTTCAAGATAATAAGCTTTAATCCTCAAGCCCTAGCTATACCTCAGTTAGTGCTATTTGTAAGTGATTGCAAGATTCATGAAAAGTCTTCATCTGATAGCAAAGCAGTCTGTAACTAAACATTATTCCTTCAGCAGCAATTAAAGTACCATCAGAGAACCTCGTCAGTCTGGCTCCAGCAGCTCTGACCTCATTAGGAATGACTAACCAGGTCACTTCTGGTAAACACTATGAGTGTTCATTTCCTGCCTGCCCACTGAGATTATATATTACTATAAAGCGTGTGCATTAAGAGGTGATCTACGACCACCAGCCTCAATCCAGGTGGCAGCATTACTGGTAATCCTGTTTTTTTCAGCAGTCTCCTGGTCACTCCCACCCCCAGCACTACTAATTTTTTGTAACACTACGAATAAATTAATAAAATATTTAATAATTCTTTTAGCTAAGCAGAAAGTCTTCCATATGATGTTATTTCTTATCAAATGAAGTTACCCAGCTTTTAAGTAGTTTTAAAGTTCTTATTTGAAAAAAATTCAGTCTATTTCAACATTGTTTCTTTTTAAACCAAAGTTAAGCAAGACCTGGTCTGGGAAAAAAACCCAGGATAATTCCAGATGTTATACCACATTATGTGGTGTGGGTGTTAAGTTTTAAAATATAGATATTATCAATGTCACTAAGCACTTTGCCAGCTGATAAATGATATGACTAGATCCAAAGAACTGCAGCCAATAAATACATGTCTGGTTTTGTTTAAAATGACACCATCTAGATCAGAAGATGATTTA